CGGAGTGGGACTCCTTTTCAGCCCTGGAGTTTCAAGCCTCAGACCAGCCCACTTCAGTTCACGACTGACTATATTAAAATAAGGACATTTCCAATTCAGTTTCTAATCATAGTACACTATCACGTCTTTTTTTTTAAAAACAGCTGCTTTAGAACTTTAAATGTTCAACGACCCTAACAGTATTATGTCTTAACAATAAAAAAAATAAATAAAAAAAAAGATACTCAGACGAGGATCAAACCCGGGTCTGCAATGTCGTAATCTAACATGCTAACCACTGAACCACAACAGCTGTGCAATAAGAGGTGGCTCGTCTAAGTTATATAATCATTAACCAGGCTGCGAGAAAATAGATAAAGAGAGCAGCGCTGCTGTAAAATAATCAATAAGAAGACTGTGGTCAAGTAAAAAAAAAAATTTAATTTAAAAAGTGTGACTGCTGAGAGCAACAGATTCTGGAGCTAGGGACACCGGCCCTTGCGGCCAAAAAACGGACCGGCCCACCGGGAATTCTCCCGGTCCTCCCGATTAGCCAATCCGGGCCTGGTCTGAAGCAAACCATCGATTTATTCTGTCAATTTATACAGGGCTAGTTGTATACACAACTGTTTCTACACACACGATAACGGTTAAGTACCCGGTATCTACAGCTTAGCTTAGCTATATTTTGCAGTAGCTTGAAAGCTGCTGAGTTACATAAGATACAATGTAGTTTTTTCAGTAGCTAGCTACTTTGTCAGCAAGTAGTGGGGAAGCTACTACTTACTTACACCCAGGGCCGTTTATATTCAAGTTGCTGGGTGTTTTCGTTTACGAGGTAGGTTGTTAGCCCAACCTGAACATACACACATACATTACGAACAATTTAACTTACCCAATTCATCTATAGCGCATGTCTTTGGACTTGTGGGGGAAAATGGAACACCTGGAGGAAACCCATGCGAAAATAGGGAGAATATACAAACTCTAAACAGAAATGCCATCTGACCCACCCGGATGTAAGGCGACAGCTCTACCCACTGCGCAACCATGCCACCACTACTATTTTTTATATTTCTAACCATATAACAACTTTGCCGTTGCTTTGAATCTCGATTAGCCAATTGTATGTTATGTGTGCACACGAGTGCAAACAAAATCAACAATTTGCTGCCTGCAGTTCAACCGACGGCCACTGGTGTCGCTAATAACAAGGATTTCTGAACTATACATACCACCCGTTTTTATGATCGTGCCAAATTGATATACTTATAAATGAGCAGTTATACTGACACGCAATAAATAATGAATACCTCAAGTGGGTTCAACATACATCTCAGGGCACTTAAAAAGAGACATGACCTAGCTCTCTAAATATTCCTGCCAGATTTAAGCAGAAAACATAGAGGTGCCGCCGTGGAAGGCAGTGATTTATAGCATTTGCGCGCAGGGATTAAATTTCAGCTCCCGTTCTGCCCACAAAACTGTGGTAATGTGTCTAAACACAGCGTCACCTGATAGCAGGGATCATCTGCAGTCTGACAGGCACCCCCTCCTTTACTGCTTCCCACATAGGTACACCTGGTGTTATTCAGTACATACACACACACACATAGAGGGAGAAAGGTAAAAAGAGATAAACCTCTGCCTTAGGGAGGGAATCTTTACCCGCATTCAGGTTACAGGATTGGGTTATGACTATTGTGTATGTAATAACCAGCTAAATAGCTCCCGTCCTCTGATTACAACGGTGTTTGGGGCAAAGACTAATGTCGGCCCGTTTCTGAGCAGTGTGGGAGTCTCACAGGGTGGAGACGCAAACACTGGGTTATGAAACATGCTCAATACTACAGGTTTGATTTATCAACTTGAAGGGATAATTCAGCCAAAAATAATACATAATTCTGTCCTGACAGAGGAGATCAGAATTAGAAAACAGCCTACAGTTTCCTAAATTTCAAGGTCATAGCTTTAGGAGTTAAAGAGCAGAGAAAGTTACATATCTTCTTGGGCACAGAATTAAAAAGAGAGCACTGCTCAAAATTAGAGAACACTTTCAGATACTTCACAGCTATTAGTGCAAATTTGGCACCCAGTGCTCATTTTCTTAATTATCTGAAAAATACTTATTTAAATGGACAGTTTACCCAAAACTGAAATTTGGCTCACAATTTACTCACCCTCAAGTGGTTTCAAACCTTTAACAGTTTCTTTCTTTTATTGTACTTAACAAATACTATAGGAGAAGTCAATGGTTACAGGTTTCCAACTTTTTTCAAAATATCTTCTTTTATGTTCAGCAGAAAAAAATATACTCAAACAGGTTTGTGACAAGTAGAGAGTGGGTAAACTATGGTGTCAATCTAAGGCCATATATACAGTTGAGTTCAGAATTATTAGCCCCCTTTGAATATTTTTTTCTTATAATTATTTCCCAAATTATGTTTAACAGAGCAAGGAAATTTTTACAGTATGTCTGATAGTATTTTTTCTTCTGGAGAAAGTTTTAGGTGTTTTATTCTGACTAGAATAAAAGCAGTTTTTAATTTTTTTAAACCATTTTAAGGTCAAAATTATTAGCCCCTTCAAGCTATATTTTTTTCCGATAGACAGAACAAACCATCATTTTACAATAACTTGCCTAATTACCCTACCCTGCCTAGTTGACCTAATTAACCTAGTTAAGCCTTTGACTGTCATTTTAAGCTGTATAGAAGTGTCTTGAAAAATATCTACTCAAATATTTTGTACTGTCATCTTGACAAAGATAAAATAATTTTTTCTTCTATAGTCTTTCTTCTGATAAACAAATAAAGATATACTGAAGAATTAGAGAAAAAACAGCCATTGATTCCCATAGTATTTTCTTAATCCCACTTTCAATGTTAATGGCTTTTTCTCCCAACATTCTTCAGAAGATCTTGTTTTGTGTTCAGAAAAGAAATTCATAGAAGTTTAGACATTTTCATTTGAGGGTGAACTCTTTCTTTGATTAACAATTGCTAATAGCTTGTGAATAATGGGTGTTTTGCACTCATTTGCACTTTATGCATCATGGCATAACTCAACTGCAGTTTAACAGTTATTGAGGTTTTAAGTAGTCTAAACAATACATTAAACAATAGTATGGTGGTTCAGAAATGTTTTTGTACCGTAATTTACATAAACAACCCATACAATATATCATTTCAAACAACGAAAAATGTTATTAAAAGTCACTTTAGCAAAAGCTTTTTAACAGTTAAATTGTTGGAGCAGAGGTTTTAAAATTTAAATAATTGAAGTAGTTTTTGAGTGGTTGCTAGGCAGTTGCTAAGGTGTTGCTAGGTGGTTGCTAAGGTGTTCTGAGTTGTTGCTAGGCAGCTGCTAAGGCGTTGCAAGGGGGTTCCAGGTAGTTGTTAAGGTGTTGCTATGCGGTTGCTTGGGTGTTCTAGGTGGTTACTATGGCGTTGCTAGGTGGTTGCTAGGGTGTTCTAGGTGGTTGCTATGGCATTGCTAGGCTGTTGCTATGGTGTTCTAGATGATTACTAAGGTGTTGCTAGACAGTTGCTAAGGTGTTCTGAGTGGTTGCTATGTGGTTGCTAAGGTGTTGCTAGGCAGCTGATATAGTGTTCTGAGTGGTTGCTAGGCAGTTGCTAACATAAATTACCATGTTTCTAGCATAAATTAGCAACATAAATTACCATGTTTCTAGCATAAATTAGCATGTTGTTAGCATGGTTCTAGTAAGAATTAGCATGTTGCTAGTATGTTTCTAGTATAAACTAGCATATTAGGATGAATTTAGTATGAATTAGTATGGATTTGTATGTCATTAGCATGAATTGGTATGTTGTTAGTATATCCTATGTAAAGTCAATGGCAGTTTTTTACAATGCAAGTTAATGGGACAGTTGCTAGGGTCAGTTTTCGGAAAACCGTAGGTCGGATCAGTTGGAAAAGATATAGCAACCCGAATCAGAACAGTTTGGAGTTAGTTTGGTAGTTGTTGTATGAACGTTCTAGGAGGAGATGCATATAGAAATTAGTCTCAGGGAGAAGTTTATGTAGTACAACAGTATGTTGGCTTTCTCAAGGATGGAAAACACTCCTGAATTATGAACTACACGCATCTTCATTAAAATAAAATAAAACATCACCGTTTTAACAAGAGATCGAAATTTTTTTTTAAACTGCACACTGATGCCCATTTTTACAAGTTTAAGCATTTTAAGACCAACCCAATGCTGTTGTAAATTAATGGCCAAATTTTAGTTGAAAATAGTGTAATGTAAATGTGCCCTTATGGAGTTCTTCATCAATATCACAGGTTTTAGGCATAAATATTTACATTAGATGTCGCCTACGCTGTGGTTGTCTATTGGATGGAATGCATCAACAGAGCCGCCATTTTAGTACAGGGTAGCACTCCTTTGAAATTATTGTAGGACCAAGGTGCAGTGGAGGACTGTCCATCCAGAGTCAAGAGATATATACACATATACATTTATCTATGATAGTGAGTTTTTCTGGTGGTCTGTATGCAACGATCTTTTAAATTCAAATTATCATTTTGCTTTACTCTTCTACATCGATGGATAAGTGACCGCACAGGCATTGCCAACAAAGAGCGTGTTTGTGTGCATGAAAATGAACTATCCACTCTCCCTGTTAAATTTGATCTAAACCATGTCCTGAAACTCCCCCCCCCAACTGCTTTCACTTCTTATTCTAACACAGCGAGTGATTTGTTTGTAAATGAATCTCCAATATGAACGACTCGTTCCCTTTGCCGACAATAATACAAGTTTCTAGCACCGCAGCATCTTGTTGTCATATTTCATTATATTGTTTGCTGATTTTATTCAACAAAACTAGCATATGCCTAGTATTAAGTGCGAGTTGGTGCTACTTTGCCTTATGGTCAGTGCAGTAAGTGACAGTATTATCATCAATAACGTTACTTGTTTAGCACAAAAGTGCGTAAAACATACAAAAACATAAAACATTTATTTATTTATTTATTTTTTTGGCACACTTACCAGACTCATGGTCCCATATACAGTAGTCAGGCGAGTCTTCAAAGTAGACCAGGTCATTTTTGTTAGGCCTCTTTAACATCCTGTATGCGCTGGTGAAGCCCGTCCCATATTGGTTCATCACCACCTGAATGGCGTTGTTGTATTTTTTGCGAAGATAGTCACCCGTCTGCCTGAAGTCAGCCATGGCTAACCAGCAGGTGCGGACGTTGCATGAGCCACTGACACCATGACACTTACACTCCAGATTCATAAAGCGCTTCACCGCCTGAGAAAAAAGAAAAGGAAATTAGAGTAAAAACAGTATATAACCAGCATTATTATTATTTAGCATTGCCAACACAGGTTCATTGAGAAAATGTGCCCAGGCATACATTTCTGAAAGCCGAGAAATATGTGCTTTGTGGTACATAATAGCTGCATTTTGTGAGCAAAACGAATGCTACGGACGAACATATGGATGGCTTTTCCAGCGTGACTAGTGTACTTTGGTAGATCACCAGCATTTGAGTCTGGCCAAGGATGGTTCCAGAAACCAGATAAAACGTAAGCCTAAACAAAGAGCAATGTGACGCCGTAGTAAAAGCATCTAGTTTGCTTTTGAAAACACTACGGGTAGGGTTTAGGGAAGGGGCGGATGGGTGAGTATTAAGCTAATATATTTTCTCACAAGCCAGAAAGACATTGAGAGATGGCCAAAAACGTACACAGCAATCTCTAATAGGGTTGTCGCGATGCTGGAATTCGATACCAACCGGTACTTAGGTTTTTAAAAAGTAAATTTCCCGCGAACATTTAAGCAATGTAGAGCACATTCTTAAACAGCACTAATTTGCCATTGTGTTCACGTGCTCAACAGAAATTACTGTGATTACCTGGGAAGGTCATCAGTTCACCGAACTCACTGATTTTTACTGCATGTAAACACAGATACAAGGTCACTGGAGCGATTTAAAGACATGTCGATCAGCTGGTTTGTCGATAAGCTGGCATAAGAGCGATGCGCTGATGAATCGTGGCTTTAAAACTATTCAGTATCCCTGTATCTGTGGTTGCACTCAGTAAACAGCGGATAGTTTGGTGAACTGATGACCTTCACGACTAATCATAATAATTTCTGTTGAGCACATGAACACAATGGCAACTCAGCGTTTATTTAAGAATGTGCTCCAGAGCACTGAAATGTTTGTGGGAAATGGATGTTTTTTAAACTTCAAGACCGATTGGTATCAAATTCCAGTATTGTGACAACCCTAGCCTCTAGTGGATTTATGAGAAATGGAACTTAGGCCGCAGAGTTTACCAAGCTTGAACTTTGCAATGCAGCGAACAGCGAAACTTAGGCGCTTAGCCCTAGCCGCACTTAGAAACTTAGCCCTAGCCGCACGAGCTTGTGTTTCCGGTCTGTCATATTCGCATACGTATGAATGGACATCTATGGGGTGAAATGTGTATTGTGACTGTGGCTTTATTAGAAAATGTGCCTCCAGTAAAACATTTGAGATGTTCCAAAATGTACATGGTGGCCTCTAGTGGATTTGTGAAAACAAAATATGCAAGAAAACGTTGTCCAGATTTTTCAGTTCTCAAAAACTTAGACCTGGGCACATACAGTTGAATTCAGAATTATTAACCCTCCTGAATTATTAGCTCCCCTGTATATTTTCCCCAATTCCTGTTTAACGGAAAGAAGAAAAAAAGAATAAATGCTTTTATTCTAGCCAAAATAAAACAAATAATTTCTCCAGAAGAAAACATATGGTAGGAATTAGGGAATACTGTGAGAAATTCCTGGCTCTGTTAAACATCCTTTGGGAAATATTTGAAAAAGAAAATCACAGAAGGGCTTATCATTTTGTCTTCAACTGTGTTTCCATTGAGCCTGGGTTGGTCATTGCAGTATTGTTACCTTCCTCCCTGCTCGGTTGTTGTGCAGGTTCATGAGTGCCCGGGCATCTCTCTCTTTCCTCTCTTTGGCATCAATGAAGACCTGGGTGAACTTGATGGCATGGTCAACGTGATCACTGCAGCCCCCCCAGTCAAAAGCTCCCTTGGCATCGCGGGATGAGCCTTTTTTTCCAGGGTCACATGAGCAGTTTTCCAGCTCACCCTGACTGCACGCCCTGGTCAATGTGTAGACCATACCAGCTGAGGAGATGGCATAGACAAAAGCTGCCTCACGACTGCCTGAAAAAAGAACCAAAGAAAGACTAAGACTAAGACTCTTAGCTCAATAAAATATTAATTTGCTGCTTATTATTAGTTAGGTGGGATTAGGTATTGGTTAGGATTAAGGATGTAGAATAAGATCATACTATGAATACAAATAAACAGCCAATATCCTAATAATAAGCTGGGAATGAGCCAGTAGTTTATAGTGGGAATTGGTACTAGTACTAAAGTGTTACCAAAAAAATTTATATAAATCTAGCAGAGTTGGTAACAGGTTGGTTGCCAGGTATATATTTCATATATTTCATGCAGCAGATGCTCTTCCAGCCGCAACACAACACTGGGAAACACCCAAACACTCTCATTCACACCCATACACTATGGCCAATTTAGTTCATTCAATTCACCTATAGAGCATATCACTGGACTTGTGGGGGAAACCGGAGCACCTGGAGGAAACCCATGTGAACACAGGGAGAACATGCAAACTCCACACAGAACCAGCTACATTCTTGGTGTGAGGTGATCGTGCTACCCACTGCACCACCGTGACGCCCATATTAGATCAGTTTTAAATTTTATTTAATTTAAATTTATTTAAATAAGAAATTAACCTAGTTACTTTCACTTTCATGTTTTTTAACTATACAGCAACCAACACCATCAGTCACAGAACCACAATTAGTCAGAATTATTAGCCCTCCTGAATTATTAGCGTCCCTCTTTATTTTTTCCCCCAATTTCTGTTTTACCGAGAGATTTGTTTGCAACACATTTCTAATCATAATAGTTTTAATAACTCATTTCTAATACTGATCTATTTTATCTTTGCCATGATGACAGTAAATAATATTTTACTAAATTTTTAAGACACTTCTATACAGCTTAAAGTGATATTTAAAGGCTTAATTAGGTTAATTATGTTGAGTAGACAGGTTAGGGTAAATAAACAAGTTATTGTATAATGATGGTTTGTTCTGTAGACTATCGAAAAAAGTTAGCTTAAAAGGGCTAATAATTTTGTCCTTAAAAAACCTAAAAACTGCTTTTAATCTAGCCGAAATAAAACAAATAAGACTTTCTCCAGAAGAAAAAAATATTATTAGACATACTGTGAAAATTTCCTTGCTCTGTTAAACATAATTTAGGAAATATTAAAAAAAGAAAAAAAATTCAAAGGGGGGCTAATAATTCTGACTTCAACTGTATATATATATAGAGAGAGAGAGATATTATTTTCTACATACAGTATATTACAAAAATTAAATAATAATTAATTTAATAAATACTTTTATGCACTTTTACTTTTAAAGTGTGTCAAAATACATGATTACAGACAAAGTTTCTGTTTATTCGTCACCTTTACAGGTTAATTCATAAAAGTAAATGCAGACTATATATTTGTCAACTTAAACTAATCTTATAATCCATTATATAAACAAGCGGATTACAATGGAAAGAAGTAAGAATCTATGCATGTGTGAGTTAAGCAAACGTGTGAAGTTGATTATAACAGACATCAATGTCTCAGAGAAGAACGAACAACTAACAATCCACAGCCTAAACAAACATTCATAATGTGCAGCTCTTCCACATGTGCACCAAAGATGTTTCCGTTCGACAGGACAGAGAAATGCCTGCCACCAAATCCCAGCAATTGTTTTAAATTAGCGAGCTGACATTGACAATAAGTCGATTCTCACAGTGTGACAGATAGAGAAGTCTTTCTGGGAGGTCTGAATGCCTAAAGCAAGAAGATTAAAGTCACAGGTTTAACTTCAATGTGCAGGGCAGCTTAGAGGCCTGGGACTCACTGCGCCTTTGCGGATCTTCCCATTAATATGATTTTACACAGGGATGAGAAAACGCAGCCACAGAGAACTTTTTACAGTCGCAAAACCTACAACTGCAAAACTGCCAATTACACCTAGTTAAAGCATCAAGCTCTGAATGAACTCGGCAGACACAATAATCCAGGCATTCTTCTGTAAACTCGCATCGGTCTTCAACACAATGACGGATACACTTGCATGTCAAGTAAGACTTTTGTGTGCTATCGATTCAGATTACCTCCAGACACCTTGAGACGATCACTGAACAATAATGTATTGTTTATAAGTCTATGTGTGCCGTGTAATATATACAGCTATGAGGGGAAAAATTAAGAGACTGCTTGAAGATCCTCAGTTTCTCTGAATTTACTGGATTTGGGTTTGAGGAAAATGCTATTTGTTTTATTCCAGACAGGTATGAGAACATTTCTTCCAAGGTTAAATGCAATATTATCATTTGCAGACTTTAATTTAATTTAATTGTTTCACTTTTTAAAAATTACAAACATTTGTGTAATTAAAAAATTAGGGTTATTGCCTGAAAAATGATTCATTGGATTTACTAAAAAGATTTTAAGGTAACTGGTTGCAAACAATTTATATGGGCTGAATTTAAACAAACAATTCAAATTGAGTAATGTTCAATTTAATTTGTTTGTTTCAATTAAGCCCATGTAAATTGCTGGCATTTATTAAATCCAATTAATAAAACTTTCAGTCCCACAAGTAAAGTTCAGTGACATAAAAATGCATCATTTTTAAACGGAGGTGTGGCAACAAACCCCACCCCTAAACCGTGATTGGGCATGAGCAAGTCATACTAAATTGCTTGAATAAGATTGTACAAATTCATTCAAATTAACCTCTAAATAAAAAAGTTTTGAATTTCCATGAGATTGAATTGGTTTTTCCACAAAACTGATTGCCTAAAACTTCAAAATGTAAAACATTTGTATTTTGTTGGCTAAAAATATTTTTAAACCGTAAACGTTTATATATCATTAAAGTATTAAATGCTTTGTTTTAAAAAACTTTTCCACCAATAAAATAAAAATATCAGTGAAATTAGTTTTTTAGCATAAAAACAATTTTTTGTAAAATAAAAAAATTACTTATTCTGAATTGTACATATACTGTAAAATCTACAGTAACTTACTGGCAAGAGTTCGCAGGAAACATACAATAAATACAGCAAGAAATACAGTAATAATAATAATAATAATAATAATAATTCCTTACATTTATAGTGAGTATGCTGTCAGTGTGCAGCATTCACCTGAATGACAGCTATATTGCGGCAGACGAAACACCACACATCAGCTAATTGGTGGAGAGGAGACAGAGTGATGAAGCCATTTATGATATGGGGATGGTTAAGAGGCCATGATGGACAGAGGCCAGTGGGCAAATTTGGTCAGGATGCCGGGGTTAAACACCTACTCGTTTTTTTAAAGGACATCCTGGGATTTTTAACGACCACAGAGAGTCAGGACCTCGGTTTAACATCTCATCCAAAAGACAGCGCTCACTGAACAGTATAGAGTCCCCGTCAATATACTGGGGTGTTAGGACCCACACAGACCGCAGCTTGAGCTCCCCCTGCTGGCTTCACTAACGTCACTTCTGGCAGAAACATAGCTTTCCCATGTGGTCTCCCATCCAGGTACTGACCGAGCACAGCCCTGCTTAGCTTCAGTGTTTACATTTACAGCACAAGTTAACTTGCTGTATATGTATTTACAGAATTTTATATAGATAGCTTTACTGTAAAATATACCGTACCTCACAATGCAATTTTGAATTACAGTAACATACTGCATAACTTTCCTACAGTAAAATACAGTTCATATTACTGTTAAATACTGTGTAATTTACAAAGATCGTAACAGTGTATACTACATCAAATATTAAGCTATCTTATTCTAACTTTATTATATTTTGACTGATAAATTAATAGGTAAAACATAGTGATTTAAAGGATAGTCTTAATGGTAAAAATACAATTAATTAGTATTTTGGGTTGTCAAACAGTCTTTCAATACTGTATGCAATCAAATTAATTTATTCTAAATATGCCTGACAATATGTTTGTGTACATAAACTATTAATATGCTTATTGACATTATATAGTGTGTGTTTTCAGAAAAGGTAAAATGGTAACAGTGGAAAATGTTTGATAATAAATTTATAATTCTAATTTAATAAATAAATAAATAAAAATATACAACTATTTCTTCCAAAAATGTATGCTACCACCAATATAAAAATCTAATTTATAAAAACTGTTTAAAAACTGTGTAAAAAAATGTTTTTTTATTTTTTTTAAATTTTCAATCATCTCAGACATTCTTGTATGTCCCTGGCCCACACATTCAAGTTTAAATCTGCTCAAATCTCATCAACACACACAGATGTGCAAAGAAGGGTCAAAAGCACACCCAGTTCATCAAGTTTTACTTTCTGTAATCTGATCTGATATCAGATAAGGAATCGGAGTGCAGAACACACACTGTAAGCAGCGTACAGAAACAGTACACTGAAGCTTCACACTCACTGCGGTGCAGGAGCCTCCCGAACAGATTGTGCTCGCGTGCCATGGTGTTACAGTTCCAGCGGTGGGTCCTGAACTGGTGCTGACATTCGCCAATCCAGTTTTTGATGCCAGCTCCTATAGCCTGCATCACTTTGGGATGCTGGCGGCACAACTGGCGCTGTTTGTTAATTAAACCCGGGATGTTGTCGCACATCACTTGCGATCCAAGAGTGCCCATGTACCTGCATAAAGAGATGAAAGAGCCGATGGAAATCTCTTACGGTCCTCATGTTTCAACACACAAATTCAGACAGGAGGGATTTTGAAGTATGAAATTGTAGTTGAAATTTTTGGTCTTTTCGATTACTATTGTGAGCATACAGTAAAAGTCAAAAGTTTAGAAAATAGGAATTGGTCTTTTGCTTATCAAGACTGTATTGCACTGTAAAAAATGTTGGGCTCCACACAAGTGATTTTTGTTCAGACAACATGAAGGAACTCTGTAGCTTTTACAAATTTAAGTGGACTGAACATAAAACAACTAGGTTTTCCTGAAAAAAACTCAACATTTGTGTTTCAGCTTATTTAAAAAAAAAAAGTCATAACAAACAGCAAACAGATTTTTTTGAGTGTATATTAATTGAATAAAACAACAATATTGTGAAATATTATAAAAGGTTCTGTATACTGTTCATTTCTGGTTTCTTTGGAGGATGTATTTTATTGCATATATTTTTATTTTGCTTTTTACTTGTTTTACTTATTTAAAATGAGCTGAAACAACAATTCTTGAGATTTCATTGGGACAATTTTTTCAATCCACAAATTTGGTTAAAGTGTTGACTTAATCGATTTGTGTTGGGATAACATTAATGAATTATGTGGACACCTTTTTAGAGTTATTATTGGTGCTCAGTCAATAATGATGTTTCTTATAGTCTACAATCCTTTTCTTCTTTATATTTCGGTAGAAACCTTTAAAAAAATTTAAATTACTTACAGATAAAAGTATTTAAAAAACAGTAATATTTTAACAGTAATATATCAAGGTTTTCAGAAGAATATAAAGCAGCACAGCTTTTTTTCAACGTTGATATTAATGTTTCTTGAGCAGCTTTTCTAAAAGATCACGTGACACCGAAAACATTGAAAAATCTTTGGTGAGCAAAGAGAGACTTCTATCATAGGCATGAACACATTTTAATGATTCCAAATTTAGAGTCAGGAGATTACAGATATCAGAAAATATCTTCATTAACCGTGTTGCATTGTAAAACACTTATTATTTACTGAGAATAAATTTTAGTCACAGCTTTAGTAGTAAGCTATCTTTAAATTTAGAGGTGGTCAGAGTTGTTAACTGCAAATGCAATACATTCAGTTTTTTTTGGTAGGATGTAAACAAAAAGCATATAAACAATTAGCTATTAATTGTTTGAACACAGTTAAAGACACACAAGACGAGCCTATCAAACTCTAAATCAATATTCTGCCACATATTACTTCAATAAAATCTGTTTAATATCTTAAACTGAAGAAGCATAGCCTTAAAAACAAAAATGAAGCAAACTGAACTCACCACCACGACGCGTCGACTCTGGATGAGAACCAGCAAATTGCCACGGACAGATAGAAACATATTCCATTTGGCAAAAAGTTCATATTCTAAAAATTGTATTGATACTCATTCGTTCAGGCACTTGTCTACGGGTTTTAACAGCACATAAATAAAACACGGAGGGCATGAAGAGCTGAGGCGGTGAGAGCGGATGAACGCCGGAGTGACGCGACGCGACGCGGGCGAGCTGAGCGTCAGAGCATCGCGGAGAGCAGCGCTGCAGACCCGCCTGATGCTCTTCTGAACAGATCATCCTCCTATCTGCTTTAAATTGCTTACACAAGGGGTGGGCGAAACCTGCCTCAGGAATGAAGTGAAGAAATTAGATGTCTGAAAGTATCTGTTCAGGCTAGCTTGACAACAGCCGCAGGTTTGGCGCATTTCCAAAGTAGCGAAAGTGCAGAATGTGGTCGAACGTGAAATGTCCATAAATCCATAACCTCCCGAGAGACAACACTTTGGGCATCAGAAAAATAGATATACAATTGCACATTATATTAATCAAACATGCAATTCAATGATGGGGCAGCGGCTATATTGTTGGCGACGCGGTGGCGCAGTAGTGCTGTCGGCAAGAAGCCGCTGGTTCGAGCCTCGGTTGGGTTATTTGGCATTTCTGTGTGGAGTTTGCATGTTCTCTCTGTGTTGGCGTGGGTTTAGGTGCACTGGTTTCCCCACAAGTCCAAAGACATGCGGTAAAGGTAAATTGAGTAGGCTAAATTGTCCGATGGGTTGCAGCTGGAAGGGCATCCGCTGCATAAAATATATGCTGAATAAGTTGGCGGTTCATTCCACTGTGGCGACCCCAGATTAATAAAGGGACTAAGCCAAAAAGAAAATAAATAAATGATTTTATATTTATTTTCTTGCCATTATTGGCGTACTTTTTAAATAAAATGAAATTCATCACTCCCTTTAAAAAATCTAGCTAATAGGCCAACCGTTTTGTGTTTAAACGTAGTATTTGTACAAGCTTATTTGTTGAAATGTGTATCATGTTGTGTTTAAATAATCTATAAAACATGTTTGACTTAATAATCATATAGTAAAACTAGGTGTATTTAAAAGCAATGATAATGTAATAATTTAATATCATAATCATTTTATTTAGATTTATTTATTAGTATCTAAAATTATGCATTTATGTTATCAATACTGTTAATTAATTAGCATTTGCTTTATTTTATTGAACTGAGAAACAACATGCCACTTGAGACATGTTTGGGATAAAAATTTAATAAACTTATCACTCATCCAAATATTCAGCACACAATTAGTCTATGCATTATTTCATGTTTATTTTTCTTGCTTTATTTCATTCAAATTTATTTATTAGTATCTAAAATTATACATTTATATTATCAATAGTATTAATTATCATTTGCTTTATTTAATTGAACTGTAAAACAGCAAACCACCCGAGACGCATTATTCAGAATTAAAAAAATCTAATAAACTGATCACTCATCCAATTCAGCACACAGTTATATGCATAATTTCATGTTTATTATTATTTGCTTTACTAAACTTTAATATTGTTGGGACACAATAACCCTGCCACTAGCCTACTGCTTATAACTAGGCTAATACTGCTAATAATAGACCAATTCATGATAGCCTAATTTAAAAAATGCATTATTATTATCAGTATGTTCGCGTAATACATACATAACATATTCATAAAATAATTAGGTTTCAGACTGTTGAATAACTTTTTTTTTCTCGCAGACTAAATGGTGCGATTATACATTCACAATGGTATGAACCATTATCTATCATTATAATTATTAACATTAGTATTTAAAATCCAGACCAGAGTGAACTTTTTCTCAGATTTAAAGAGACACCCCCCCCCCCCCCCCCAATACACCTTGTGCTTTAAGGGGGGGATCAAGCCTAATTAAGGGGGGTCAATACCCCCCCCAAAGCCTCCTGTTATTCGCATTAAATATTTGTTATTTAGTTCAAAATTAAATTGTTTACTCCCTAAAACATTTAATATCGCAAAATGTCAAATACGCACTTTTATTTTTTATAATGGCTATGTGCCACAACTTAATAGAGAGACTGAAAAAAGGCTACATGAGATCAATAAGTCAGACTTGGAAAAATTCAAATCCTGAAAAACTCTTAGAGAACAAGGCCTAATTGACTGAGCGCTGAAAAGCCTCTCATCTCATCTTCTCCACAAACATGTCCCGCTCTTGACGATGTGCAGTGAAATTGGATTATCACATTCTTTTGAACTTTTCACGAACTGTTCATTTGTCGCACAGAATCTCCTCCATCTTTGATCATCAGTTTATGTGAAAGAATTAATATGTCCGCTTTCCTTGAATTCTGAGCTCCTTTCTACTGATGGGAACAAAGACTGTTAGGGAAAAACCGGATTCATCTCGTGATCTCCGTGGAAAAGGCGCGTTTGCGAGAGCGTGGAGGAGCCTTGACATAAGGTGATGGAATTTAAATTGGCCTAATTTCATCCTTCGGGTCAATAAAGAAAGAATATCATGAATCCTCTCATCACCTTTGAAATATCGTTCTCTCTAAAAAAAAAAATAAGTTGAGATGTGTTGGCCTATAAAATTAGTTGATCCGATTTATTTTATTTTAATCGCTTTTAAAATTAGATAACCTGATATGCTTCTAACTCTTGTGTAGCTTATGATCACTTTCAGGACAACAAACTTAAGTTAAATCTTACTAATGTCCACCTAGTGCTACAAAATAATTGTTTAAAAATGAAGCTATAATTATTTATTCATTCATCATGCCGTGTTACTTGGTGAACAGTTACAATGTTTACATTTTAGCAAACTAGTGCTTATTACTGTTGCTTACTTTTTGTAGCTTTATTAAGAGCTACATCGTTTTTTTCCCCGCAAATTTGAGTGGCACTTCCGGGTTGGAGAACTTCTGTTCAAAATAACTGAAGCAAATCATTTTTAATAACACGGTTGTTACAAATATTCCATATACATAGTAAAAAATATGTAAGAGGTGCGTTTGGCTCTGCACTCTGCATTTTTATCAGCCATGATGACTGCTCACAATGGCCGGTGTAGCCTACAGCATGACCTGCCATGATTTTCTGATGACACAGGTTAAAGAAAAAAAGCAATATCTAACAACCGTCTAAACAGGACTTTGCTGATGTAATTATTGCTGTTGTTTTGTATATTGCACAAATCATTGTTCAAGAGCATATTTATACACTGAAAACTCAAGAAGTTAAGGTAACTCAAACCATTTGAGGAAACCGATTGCAACAAGCCAATCAAGTTCAAAAATGAATAATAATGAGTATTGTGAACTTACTCCAGGTGAGTGAACAAAGCAATTTGAGTAAACACAGTAAAACCCAATAAATGAAGAGAACTCAAACCAACTAAGTACTGTAAAACCCAATAAATTAAGGCAACTCAAACCGTTTGAGGGATTGCTACAAACCAGGAGTTAAAAAAACTGATCTATAGGAGTACTGTGAACTTACTCAATTTAACGAGGTATTTAATAAACTCATTACCTTCAACACTGAGTTCCAAACTCAATTTAAATAAATAGAATTAACTAAGTCAATTTTGAGTTCACTACACTCATTTCATTTGATAAAGTTGACTGTTGGGTTTTACAGTGTATGAATAATACAGGTGTAATCAATAAGAATATATATTTCAACCAATGGTGATCTTTGACTCTTGGGAGAATATAGCAGGGCCCTGCATGGGTTACGATGCCCTACGCATCTTGTGTATTCACCTTATTCTCAGCTGTCGAGCGGGCGCTGCCATTTGAATCTTTTTGTCTCGTGACTTCCGGTCACATTCACTTCCATTCATTTTTTGACGTTAACAACTGCTCGTTACGCTGCTTGATGTTGCAATTTAATATTTTCTTATTATAATATGCTACTTGGTCTGTGTAGTCATACAAACATTTGTTTGTTGAGCAAGTAGTTTGGCCATTTTCTGCCGTTTATTATTCCTAGTCATTTCTCCCATAGGCGACTGAATCGGAAGTTCTAAGACAATCGCGAAAACAGGCGCACTTCCGCATTTTAGAATAAGGTCAATAGGGCAGAACGGTTGTAACATGTAAAGCTTAAGATCTCTAACAATTTCAGCAGTTTGGCTTTTCAGCAGTTTCGACAGTTTAAGCATGACATTCTCCAGTTCTGTTCTGAAGCAAGAGCAGTAAATGCCCCACCCCCTTCTGGAAGGAGGCACGGATCATAGGCTCATTTACATTTAGAGGCACACACACGAAAACAGTTTTTATCATTCAAAATGATCAAATTTGTCAAGCTAAAATAATATGCATAAACAGATTTGTGTGATGAAAGGCTCTGTAGCTCTATCATTAGAGGAAGTGTAACATCCAACATGCATAATGTGCTTTTCACAACCAACCAAATTACAGCCTTGATGTTACATCCACTGACTTTCTGCAAGAGTTGAGCAACAATCAGTCAATGTTTGCAAACACCATTGAAACTAAGTTTAGCTATGCTGAAGTTTTCTGATGTAATAAAAATCAACCGAAAACTGATATCAAAGAATAGCTGATACGCTGTTGATTTCTACATTTTTAAACAATTTTTCCACAAAAGAAAATATACACTGAAATCTGAAATCATCTGAAAAGTAGTAATAAGGGCAACAAATAACAACTTTTAGTTGATCATTTGGAAAAGTGGCAGAGGGAAGATTTTTTCAGATGAATCATCTGTTGAACTGCATCCCAATCATCACAAATACTGCAGAAGACCTATTGGAACCCGCATGGACCCAAGATTCGAACAGAAATCAGTCAAGTTTGGTGAGGGGAAAAATCATAGTTTGGGGGTACATTCAATATGGGGGTGTGTAAGAGATCAGCAGAGTTGATGGCAACATCAACAACCTGAGGTATCAAGACATTTGTGCTGCCCATTACATTACAAACCACAGGACAGGGCAAATTCTTCAGCAGGATAGCGCTCCTTGTCATACTAAAATGAAGGACAAGACATTGAAGATGAAGCCAAAGAATCTTGATGAATTCAGGGAGTCCTGCAAGAACGCTTCTTCACCATGACCTTATTATTTCTGTTAAGTGACAAGACTTTTGTCTAAGCAAAGTCAGACCTTACTGTTCTAACAATAAAAAATCATGATCATATTTTATTTTGGTAAATTAAGCTTAATCTAGAGGCCATCATATAAGCT